TGGTTTGGTTTATGTGATTATGGCAAAGCCTCGAGGGCTCTCTGCCTAAGGGGATAGAGGCCTTCGTGAAGGATTTTCTAAGGGAACTGGCTTGTATACTCGTTCCACATGGAGAAAACCACGGAAACGCCCATGCAACCAGTTCGCGAAACCGAACTAACAGTGTTCAGCGACTTTACCGCTCGGCCGCTGGTGGGCCTCTTTAGTCAGATAGACAAGTTCTGTAAAAACTTCACTGTAAAATGTATTACATTGTAAATAACCTTTTCGTTGAAATCGAGTTTCATCCTACTAAGGAAAAACGTTTTAAAAATGTGGTCATCAGTCTCGCTTTAGACAATTAGCTTTTAAGGAAATAACAAAAACTAATAGAACTATACGTTAAAAAAAAAAGCTTTTACGTGAAGTTTTTGAAAGAAACATTTCTATTAAGATTTCTTCAGAGAAGATTCCAACATGTGGCAATACATCCATGAGATAACAAGTTCATTGAATTCTTTTTAGTTTGACGTCCTCCCCCCCGCTCCTCCTACAGATTTTTATCAAATTCTGAAGGTGAACTCGTTAACTTTGTTTTTGCAATAGCAACAGCGTAATATGACCTTGGACTGATGATGCTGAGAACAGGTTGGTTACAAAGACGTTGTAGGGCTGTAGTGCAAGAACAAAATAACTGGAATATAGGTAGTTATTTTCAAGGCCTGTGAAATTAAGCATTCGCCACTGATAGCGCTGTCTTTTTATATTTAGGAGGAAAACAGTATCTTAGATTAATAAAAGAATGTTTAACATGCACAATAAGGATAAATGACTTTCCTTTGTGGGTAATGAGACCCATTGCAGTTGTTTTGAGTATTCAGCTTTCCTAAGAAATTTAAGCAAGAAAATTTACCAGTCGTAAATCTATGAAGTTAGTAAGTTTATAAATTTTATTACTAAATTCGTGAAAAATTTCCAAACGAACGTTAACTGACAGAAATTATTACTACTATATATCGAATTCCCTTATCTAAAATTTCTAATGAGAAAAATTCTCTACTCTGTCATTTATTCAGCTATGTCAAAGCACCCTAGGGCTATCTGCGTTACCAGGGGGTGGGATGCCTTTGTGGACGACTTTTAAAGGGAAAATGACTGGAATCCACTTTATACATGGAAGAATCCTCTAAAACGGCACGCAGCCATTTTTTATGGTTGATAGCAAAACTCTCATTTTGAGGCTATAAGTCTCAAATTGAGATTCTACATTGAATAGCTGGAAATGAGTCGTTTCACTTTTCATTCGAGTCTGTTGCCATTGGGCAAAATGTGAAATATTTACCTTTCAAACTGAATCTATCTGTAGTGGATTAACAAACTAAGCTATTTGAAAGCAATAGACGCAGTTCTTAAGAGTATCCTCTTCTTATTTTTGAATCTGAATGATTTAAGTAATAAAAATGCATTAATTCATAATCTAAAAATATTCCATATTTTCATAGAATTAAGATATTTTTTAATTTCATTCTTTGTAAAATTTTAATGAATTTTTTATATAACAAGCTGAGGGATTAGAAAGCGAGGAGTTGTAACATGGTACGAAACAAAACATTTTTATTTTCAGCACACGATACTATATCGGAAATTGCAAATATATGCTGCTTTTAAATATTTTGAGATTTTGCTCTTAAATTGAATTTTATGTGGCGTAAATGGAAAGAATGTATTTAATGATAAAGTTAACGCACAAAACGTTAATAATAGCGAGACCCCCCTTCCCAAAAAAGGCTTTGTAAACCACTGTACTAAGATAAACTGAACATTGACATTATAAACTGAGAAAAGACAAACAACTAGAAAAATGTTTTTATATCAACACTGCATCGGGAATTCTAAATATATGCTACTACGCAACTTTAAAAAAATTTTGGGTTTTGTTGTATGTGGCGTTTATTGCGAAGAAAACGATGCTTAATAAATAATACAGCTAAAAGACAAAAATTGAAAAATGGGTTAGCAGAAGAAAATGCAGCAGCAGACTGCGAACTCAGCGAGAACATGAACCTTTTTGGGGGACAGGTGATTATTGTTGAAACTAATTTATTCATTAAGGCTCAAATATTCGATAATGTAGTAAAAAATGGTTAAGACGTGGATGGGATTTCGGCTATATGCAAAGTGTTCTATCTATAGTAAGTATCACTTAATCTCTAGAAGTATACAGCCCCGAAGCATGTCATTTGGAGATTCCAAAGAAACTATACCGTATTTGTTCGTGCATTTTTCTCAGTCGTGTTAATTTTCTTCTTAGCCTTTCATCAATACACGATTCGGAAAATTTTTTAAGGATTCATTTAATTTAAAATTTCTTTAAGAAGTTCAGAAAACGAGTTCTCTTAAATTTCCAAATTAATTCATCTATCTAATGACTTTTTGCTTCTAAACTTGATCTGCTCGTGGAATTTGGGTACATGGGCTCTGACTAAGAAGCAGGGACAGGGAAGATCTTCAAGAAAAGGGCATTTTCAATACTCTTGGTGGTTCTATAGCTCATTGCGTGACAGCAAAGACTGAATATTGACGGTCACGACAATGTAAGCCTCAGCTTACGACACAGTAGTTCAAGCAGCATTAACCCCTTCCCGTGCCACTTACCTCGACGAAACTTTGGCCCAAGTGTTATGGGTCAACGCGTGGTAAGCAAGCCAGAGTGCTTGAGAAGAGTCACAATACGAGCCGAAACGTAAGTGCCTGTTTTATAATCAGTTTTGCGCGATACTGCTGGCATGGAAGTAAATTTTAATCCTTCTGCATTTCGTAGATATTATAAATATATTATATTTATTACTAAATTACAGTTTCAAAATTATATTTCATAAATAAACACCAATTCAAGTAAGTAAACTTTAATCCTTCTGCCTTTTTCAGATATTATAAATATTATTATAAGCGAACAACCCCAATCCTCCTAGCCGGCACAAGCCGACCGTATGATCAAAAAATGGGACTGGCCAGAAAAAACAAAGTCCAAAATCAGAGTCTCAGTGCCTTATTCCACTTCTTTGTTCGTATTTTATAATCTTCATTATTGTCTCTACAAAATCTTTGAAATTTGAATAGTTCCTTTTAAAATCTTCATGATTCTTTCCATATTTCTCTCTTGCACTCCGGGTAAGCGTACACTCATCGACGAAGTGCCTGGCGTCCCCAAACGTATCACATATGAAGCATTTATTATTGTGTAGATGGAACTGATTAAAATAAGCCGAGAAACGCCCATGACTAATCAGTACCCGATTTATATCATCATTTATAATATTCATCTTGTTTAACTTTATATTTTTCATTAACTCGTTTTTCTTATTAGACGAATCCCAGAAAAATTAGAGTCTGAATAAATCCAGTTTTCCATTTCAGCAACATATTTTTAATACATACCTTTAGTAAATATTACATAATTTATATAATAAAGAATCATGACCAACTCTTGTAGTGTACCGATAGGAACCAGCTGTCGATTACCACTGTGAAATTACATTAATGTTCACGATCCAGTCTCGTGATGTTTATGTTTGGCCTAGCTTTCTTCTCACGATCCTAGCTCGTGATGTTTATGTTTGGCCCTGCTTCCCGTGATGTTTATGTTTGGAACAAAATCTTCGTTAAAGTACGGGAAGAGGTTGAAGGATTTAAGTCCTAGGGTGCAGCAGTGGACAACAGCGATCGAGATTCAGGACACAGAGAAGTGGAAATGAAGATTAGATACGGTGATGCTAATATTACTAGATATTCTTATTAGAATAAAAGTTTCTATTAAATAAATAATTTTGTGATATTACCGGTAGTTTTCCACAACTATTTTTCATTTGTTTATGCACTTACTGTAAGCGCGTCCTTTGGAAATTAGATTATTCGCATAATTTCCCTTTTCTATTTTCTCAGGAAAAAATAAGAAAAGGAGGAATAAGTGAGTAAATATGGAATTTAGTGAAACAACTAGTGTTAAAGAGAAATGTTATAATATTTACAGGAAATTGGAAAGGCCTCGGCAAATAACAGAAGAAAAAATCCGAGCACGAAGAGAAAGATAAAACGTAAAATAATATCTACATTAAAAAAAATGGCAATCTCTTTTAGATAGAGATTATGGGGATGAAAACTTGGCTATTTGCTTCACCCTTTTGAGTTCCAGAAATTTCACAGTCACAGAGACTTCGATTTCAGCAATATCAAGTAAATAACACATTCGTAACCTATCTGGATTGAAAAGAGTTGTTTCCTAATTTTTTTTCAGAGAGACTGAAGAAAAATTACTTTTTTAAAAAACTACATTCCTAAACTACATTCAATTAAATCATTGACCTGACATTATACCAATTGGATAAGTACAAAATGTGCGGAGTTAAGTCACAATTCTCAAACCCCATTATTAATCAAATTTGCCACTTGGATACCAATTTTGCCCTTAAAGAGAAGTCTTTCCTCAAGTATTATTTTAATGGAATTGGAGGAATAAAAAAAAAAAAAAAAAAAAAAAAAAAAAAAAAAAAAAAAAACAGTATTCCAAAGGTTTGGTTTATTTTAAATATGGCAAAGCACTCGAGGCTGCCTAAACAGAGGTATGTCTTCTTGGACTACTTTTTATGAGAAACTGGTTCGTAGATATGTTGCACATGGGGAAAACCACGAAAACACCCATGCAGCTAACAGGTTCGCCGGGATTTCAACTACGAACCGGACTAACAGTGTTCAGAGATTTTATAGCTCGGTGGTCACGTGTTCCAAGGGACGAATTCCTGAAGTGGCATGTAAACGTATTTATTGTTGTAGAGACTTACAATGATTTACATTGAAAGGCAAAAACATAGTGTTGTTGTTGGTGTTGTACGAACTTACTCCTAAACTTTTTAAACTCTAATCGTGTACTTGTGAATCAGTCCATTGAAAAGCAGGTTTCCATGAAGAAATAGAACTGGTTCATTTATAGAAACAGAGGAGCAAAATATATATATAAATAAAAGTGACAGTAATGACAAACACTTTATTTACATGAAGTTTAAAATCCTATAAATTAAAAATGGTAGGTTCGTATACAATTTACCAAATGCACAGCTCGGATTAAATGAACGTAAACACAAGTGGATGTCCAATAAATTTAGAAGATTTCATGAAATGATGTACCATTGAAGTTTGGCAAGATAATAAAAATCTTGTGTGGCATAGGAACAGTACAATGCTATGCCTGTTGTGTAAAAATGTACTGAATCCATCATATCAAAGACTCACTGAACACTGTCAACAACATTGACTGGAGCACGGAAACAACATACTGTCTTGTCTTGATCGTCATTAGTCTTCAGATTGAAACGAGCTATTGTTTGAACCTAGAGAAATAAAAATGTTGTTAAACACTAAAAAGCAGACACTAAACAGTAAAATGAAACACTGGTATTTTGATATGAAGTTAATAGTCAAGGAAACACCACATATTTTTGTTAAATATTGAGGTTTAAACATTTTTTTTTGTTCAGTCCGTTTATTGATGCATTCTATTGTAGAAAACCTATGTGTTATTAATATAAATTTAATGTACTGAAACCAAAGATCTTGCTGTTAATTGTATGGAGAGTTTTATCCGATACTTGTAATACAGACCATTACATTTCATTACCATTGTCGATTTTATTAGATATAAAAAATAAGTCTTCTATTCTGCTGTATTTCGTGGCAGGTACAATACCTAAAGGATGAAACATTCGAATCCCATGAAAGAGGAAAAATTCAAAAACTTGAATGCTTGCCGCTTTTGTCATCCGATACAATTTAAAGAATTACTAAATATTTTTAAGCTGTAGAAAAATTTGAAAATTAATTTTATTGACTATTAATTAGTCCATTGTCAGTTGGGTAAGATTAGTTCTGTTGAAGTCTAATAGAAGAGTTTAAGAAAAAGATCACGAATTTGCAATTTCAGTCGTTGATCAACATTGTAATTACGTGTCGGCTTCTAGCCCCACACTCGAAGTTTTCTTAGTAACTGTACATTGTTTTTTTAAATCTTAGATTTTAATTCTTAAATTTTATGAATTAAGATTTGCAATTTCTTTAATTAAAAATCTTAAGATGCAGTATAATTGTTATAAAAAGGATTCGAGGACTCTAGTATATATTTACGATTATGAATGCTTGGAATAAATCACAGAACCACGACTGAGAATTAGGATGTAGTACAGCATACGAAATTTTCCATTTTCTTAAAATGCCTGCGGTGGAGACAAAACTACAATAAAAATTATTTCAGACTAGTTTTTAAAGTTCAAGTTATTTCGCAGGGTATATATGTTACGGTGAAACACCGAAATCTGGAGAATGTCGATTTGCATCGGTGAATGTCAACATTCACATAGTCGCTTGGTGTATGTCCGAAATATTTTCCAAATACTCTTATTTCTGACTTACATCGGTCAATGTCGACATTCACCATGTACTAATGGTGAATGTTGAACATATAAGAATATTATATTTCCTTCTCCGTAATTCATTCAAGAAAAAACGCACTTGAGACTCAGAATAAGAACTTAAGAATATAAGACCTTAAAACACACAGTACATTTAAAATGAGAAAGGAAAATAGAAGTTATAAACTTACCAAATTATGTGATTCAAATCTTATTTATTGCAACAACTTAAACTATTATGACACTTTGAATTGCACAAGAGGCCCTTGCTTTTACAACTGCATTTATTTGTGGAACACTTCCTTTTGGAATGGCAGCGTGTACATGTACTCCCCTCTTTTCGACCTACACCAGAGCATATCTGTAATTGTCGACATACACCGGTGAGAGTCTGAATGTACAAGAATGTAAAGAAATATTCGATCTTTCACCGACGTATTTGGTGAATGTTGACATTCTCCGGTGAAAGTCGACATTCTCCAATTTCTGTCTATCACGGTAACATATATACTGGCTTCAAGTTATGAAAGCTTTTCTGTTGCCAGTCATCAATACACTATGGCAATTTAAACTATGTTCAGGTTAGGATAGTATTATTGAAATAGGCATAGCAACTCGAAGTTATCTGCCTTTGGAAAGAGATGTCTTTGCTGAAGACTTTTTAAGGGGAACTAGCTCAAATTCACGTGACTCACGAGAAAGTCAAGAAACCAATCATGCAGCCATCCCACTCGCCTGGATTCACACTGGAGTGGAATTACCAGCGCTCAATGTCTTTACCGCTTGGCTGCTAGTGGGCCTAAACTACATTCAATTAAATCATTGACCTGACATTATACCAATTGGATAAGTACAAAATGTGCGGAGTTAAGTTCCAAGAAACTGCAACGAATAATGCTTTTATTGAACATTGCTTATGTAATTAAGATAAAATAACACGCTGAACAAGTATTAATTTAGAAGTCAAACAGCAAAAATCAGCATTACATTTGCAAATTTTCACAGGACTAGTTTCGATTGTTTTACCGAACCATCGAAAAAAATTAGTTATTTATGCACAACATAATTAAAGGCTTTTTAAAACTCGAACATTTTCGCCTTTTTTAAGCAGTATTCTGAGGACTTACGTTTGGAAAGAACTTTTTCACTTCGAATTTTTGAACATACTGCAGCTCTTGGTTGTTGGTAATAGGGCAGGTTAGGTTCTTTCCTCTGCATGCATCTCTTCTCATTCCAGGATAAGGAAGTTCAATTCCAGATACGTCAGCCCACACGGAAAGACGGAGTTTTTCAGCGTTCACATCTAAAAAAAAAAAAAAAAAAAAAAAAAAAAAAAAAAAAAGCAACAAAATTTAAGATACAAGTTGTAATTATAAATTCAGTTGTTTTTTGCCAAAATCGTTAAAAAATTATGTCTCGTTCTATAATCTGCTATTGGTTAATTCAAATATTTTTAGGTTTAAGTTTTTTAGTTAATTTACTGCCAAGAAAGATTTTCTCGTTTTGCCGGCGTGACCCACCTGTGAGTCATACTTGTCTGTTCCGTGGGGCGGCATGACCCACCGGCCGGCATGATTCACCGATGGGTCAAGCTCGTATATAAAATACTGAAATACGCTTTTATATAAAAAATACAATTACATCATAAAATATATAATTTTAGATTATAATATAATAATTCAATTTTATAATTTTGTTTAATTTAATAATTTGGCGCTGCGCCGCCCTACGAAATGGGCCGCTAATTCAAGCGCCGCCTCACGAAAAGAACATTGAATATTCGCACCGCTGTCAACGTGTTAAAGATATTTTGACGGTGTAAAATATTCTTTTATGCAGTGCGATTGGTTCGATTTGTTTTACATGATTATGGCAAAGCACGCTAGGCTTTACCATAATCAAATAAAACAAAAAAACTAGGCCTATCTGTCTAGGGTTAATGATGCCTTCGCGGAGAAAATGTGTCGATTCCCTGGAAAATTGACTCATATACTGTAAACATGAGGAACTGACACTGTAAACATGAGGAAAACCACGAAAACGGCCATTCAACGAGCCCGTTCGCCTGAAGTGGATTTTGGTTTATATGGTTAAGGCAAAGCCTCGAGGGCTGTCTGCCTAAGGGAAGGGGCGATTTCGTGGAGAACTTCCTAAGGAAAACTGCCTTGCATACGCGTTACACATGGGGGAAAAACACGAAAACGCCCATGCAGCCAGCACGTTCGTGGGATTCGAATCGAACTACCAATGGCTCAGCAACTTTATCGCTAGTGGGCCCTTAGTCTGAAATGGAACTCGGTTGAACTACAAGTGTTCAGAGACTTCACTGCGTGGCCATTGGTGGGCTTCACGTATTGCGACATGGCATCCAATGTGCAGGAATTCGACCTGTTTAAGGCATTAATAGTTTATAAAGAGTCTGTTCCGTGTCGGACATTTTTAAAAAATACTATAAATAGTATAAATTTACTAAATAATGGAAAGATAGGATTTCTATTTCAGGTTGCCAACAGCTTTTCATGAACATAATTGCAAACATTTGTTGTGCTTCCATAGCGCATTTGAATGCTGTGTTCTTAGGGTAAAAAATATTTACAAGGAACCTTTTAGAAATTATCGTCAGCCTACTCGTAGTTTGTCAACAATCATTTTTATGGTATTTCGAAATCATACTGAATAGTAGATCCGATTATATTTACAATTACATTTTTCATAATACCAATGAAACATTTTCCATTTTCAGTTTCCTCATGTCATGTATTATGTTGAATATGGAAAAATTTACTTGGCTATTTGCCTAAGAGGAGAGATGCCTTCCTGAAGGACTTTTCTAAGGGAAACTGGCTTGTATTCACGTTACACATGGGAAAATCAATAATGCACGCAGCCCGATCGCATGAAATCGAATTCCAAGTATTGAGCGGGCTTAACCATTAGGCCACTGGTGGTGGTTTGAAATCAAAATAAATAACATACAGTGGGTAAAAAAGTATTGGCAATTGCCCATAATTGATCATATTAGCTACCAAAGGAAATGCTTGACAATTTTAGCTGGTCATAACGTTTCAGCTGGTAATAAACACACAAATATAATGAAACTTTCATTTTAATATGCTTTCTAAACAAAATATACAACAAAAACGTAAATTTGCATGCCAAAATTATTGGCAAAAAATATTGACATACAGCAAAGATACGGGAACAAACTTTAATACTTTGCATTCATACCTTATGCATTTATAACAGCTTGTAATCCATTTCTCATAGAAAAAACAAAAGTCTTGGTTGTACTATTGGGAATTTTGTGCCATTCTTTCAGGAGTACAAACTTAAGTTCATCTTTACACGAAATTCTAGGTTTCCTAAGAATTAGCAATATAACGTTTTAAAAGGGTACCGCAGACTTTATACTAAAACGGTTTCTTACGAGTCTAAATAGTGACCTCAACATAACATTCCAAATCAACTTGCCTGCGGCCATTGAAAATTACAGAGTATATTTCAGAGGTTTCAGGAATGATTTCTATGGTTAAATAAAAAGCAAGCGATCTGCGCATCCATGATTAATTTGTCCGAGGACGTAGGAAAATTTTCGAAAACGTTGGCAAAAACAAGAAAGATCACTTTTCAGCAGAAACCAGCCGCATGCCAAATCTGTGATTAAGGAAAAAAAAATGTTTTTATTCTTAGTATTACGAAACTCCATAAGAGATACTAAACATATGATGTCCTTTGACATAAATTACATTATGATTAGATCTGCTTTGTATTTGATGACTGGATTTTTGATAAATAACTTCCTTTTAGATTTAAATAACGTTTTGGATTTTTGTTTTTCAAGTTACGGATATTTAAATAATTATCTTCATGTTATGATTCTTGGCTTTATTAAAGAAATGATTCATTTCCTGAAATACGAGTAATACGAGTTTGCACAATATGCATATTTTTGAAACAAACATGAGCCATTTTTTAAAGTAATAACATCAATCTGACAAAGCCTTATTTCCCTGCAAATGACAAAAAATAGCATTCGCAGAGCTGAAGGATTTAGTATTCGATCTCTGAAAAGACAATGTTGCATTGATTTACTTTTTCCCAGTCTTGTTGATATTTCAACAGGAAGTCAATTTAGCGCGTCTTTTCATAGCATTTATGACTTAACGTTTTAAAATAAGACCTAGAAATTTCCTAAAATGGTTCTTGAAAACTAAAATTCATGACATAAAACAGAATACTAAAAGTTTAACTGCTATCAGTTTCTTAGGAATTAAAATTCTGCTTCTGCTGTGTTTTTTTCCCCTGTTGTGTCAAGGTGGAAGAAAAGATATTGCCTTGTTTTGAATTACCCTCCTTTTATCTTTATTCCCTGTCTTTACTTAGCTTCTTAATTAGATTTTAGATTGTTAGGAAACTTGGCTCCAGCTTTTTTTTAGCCCTAAAAGGCATTACCTCAGAAAGGCTATTGGTCTTGAAACGCATTTTGTGTCGAATCATTTTTTAAATTTTTGCCACCAAATATTATCACCGTGTAAGATATTTAAAGAAATTAAATAATGAAGAATCTTCATGAATGAATTTGTTTCTCACACTGTGCAGAAACAACGGTACCTTGAACCAAACTTTGAATAACTTAATCCTCCACCTGAATACGCGTACCTGGAAGCCCGAATTTTTAATTTCGAATTAGTTTTATTATACGTTTCATATTTTGTAAAACGAACGAGTTTTTGATTAAAAACTCAACTATTTCAAAGCGATTAGAAGCAATACTGTAGGGAATAAAAAAATTTTATCTCCAACGCGCGAGACTAACGGAAATTGTAAAGAAATGCTGTTTTTAAAATATTTCTGCCCAAAGAGGAATTAGCCCTGTCATGAAAGTTCTAGATCAAAGCCGAATCACTCATAATCCAAAAATGAGATGCATGGCCTGGAGGGTTTTCCATAAATTTTAATTAAACTTAATATTTACATATATACAATGTAGGCTAAAATGCCTGAATCGAATATTTAATGCTCAAAAGGCAAGAACTGAATAGTTCCAGCTAAAATCTAAATCGAATTCTATTGCGTAGTGCATCGAAATTCTACCTTCAAGAAGAATATTTTTTTTTCAAGTCACGTGTTCAGAAGGGGAAAGGTTAAGTAAGCCAATAGATGGACTGCTAACGCCATCTCTTGGCGATATCAAAGAATATTCCTTAACACACTCCCCACCTGAACTCTGACAAGAGTGCATCTAACTCAGTTATACATACAATCAAGTACATAAATCACTATTCTATAAAAATATTTAAAAATACTAATTAGTCAAACTAATTAGTCACTAATTAGTTACTAATTAGTCACTTTAATTCCAATACAGGTATCAAATAATGTTATAACTAATAAATGAACTAAATTTTAAAATATTTTCCACTTAACTGAACAAACTTAACTAACGATATTCAATTTAATCATAAATAGATAATAAAGGAAAAAAGCATAACTAAATCGTTAAAGTTCAAAATATCTAAAGTTCAAGAGGATATAGATGTTGAACAGTACGTTTTAAAGTCCCATTACCAGTTTTTTAATTCGAATGATCGGACTTTACCATCACGTCCAGGAATAATTTTTATGATTCTACCAAGTTTCCATAAGAGTTTATTTTTATTATCTCCCTTCGACTAAAACAACATCTCCTACTTTTAGTTCTGGTTGAAGTTTCGGATTCTTCAAGAAATGGGCAGTTCCAAGATCTAATATAATATTGTTGCTTCTATTTCCACCACAACTGTCTTGAACAGCAATTCTTGATAACGCTTTCTTTTTAACAGCGTTTCTCTTGTCGTTTCGCTACTGATGATTCTAGCAAAGGTCAAAGGATACTTCAAATCAGTTTGTCCAATGTTTAAGGACGTGCATTGGAGTCAACGGCTGCGGCTCGTCATTGTCGTTGTAAACGTAACTTAGAGGTCATGAATTAAGAACCGACTCCACTTCGACAAGTAGTGTAGACATTTCTTCGAAAGTCAACAATGCTTTTCCTACGATTTTTCTTAAACATTCTTTAACACATCTAACAAGTCTCTCATAAAACCTTCCCCACCATGGGGCTCGTTCGATTATAAATTTCCAATGGATTCTTTCTTTGGCAATGAAATTCTTGAATTTGTCATCTTTTAAAACTTTTGCAAAATTCTCAAGTTATTTCTTTGTCCTCTTAAAGGCCTTGGCGTTGTCAGAGTAGATGATTACGCAGTTTCCTCTTCTGCTCAAAAATCCGCGAAATGCAAGTAAAAAGGATTCTGTTGACAT